ACATATTCACAGAAGATAAAGAAGAGAAAGAAATAAAGAATTAATAATTCTCACATCTCTGAGTTCATATTACAATCACAATGCATATCTCAAATAAGAAGATATCAGTGAGATGCCTACTCAACTTCAGAGTAGATATCAACTTCATATTCTATTCCTTTTCTTTGATAAAGAATTGAAAGAAGATAGATTCATCAGATCATGTAAAATTTACTGATGAAATGAAATGTCATTATTTTAACATAATTCAAGTGAAGTGTGTGATCACAGACTCAGAAGAAATCTTCAAGAAGAGCAGTCTGCTTCTTCACACAGTTAATATCATAGATGAGAACATTATTCTAGGTCTTTTATAATTGAGAGAAAACAATTCTCTTATTGACTGAGTCACTCAGATGTAACAGTATCATCTCACTGATAAAGAGACAGTAATAGAGAAATCTAAAGAGTTTCATCAGAAGAATCTTAAGAAAAAGATAGAATTAATATACTATGTAGCAGATGACTGAGACTTGAGAATAGGTGAAGAAGTCATCACTCTCACTGCAAGATTAGCAGCAGTATTCATTATTAAAGATGAATGAATACAATGTCTCTTTACAGATTATAAGAATGTCTTTTCAGAAAGAAAAGCAGTGAAGTTTCCTGACATCAAGATACAATATAAGATTCATCTTGAAGACAGTGTAATGATGCTGTACAGGCCTCTTTACAACTTGTCTATAAAGAAATTGAATGTTCTGTGTAAATATCTTGAAGAAGTGTAATTAAAGAACTGAATACACTTATCAAAGAGTTCAGCAGAGACATCTATACTCTTTATACTCAAGAAGAATGATAGACTACATCTATGCATAGACTACAGAGGTCTCAATAAGATAATAGTTAAGAATTGCTATTTATTACTGTTAATTGACAAGATGATTGATCAATTATCTGAAGCAAAGATATTCTTAAAGATTGATATACAGAATATCTATCATAGAATCAGAGTTAACAAAGATGATGTTTGAAAAACAGCTTTTCATATCAAGTACAGCAATTTTGAATATCTTGTTTTATCTTTTAATCTTTGTAACACTTCAGTCATCTTTCAGACCTATATAAATGAGGCACTGCAGAGCCTTGTCAACATCTCCTGTATAGTATATCTGAATAACATTCTAATCTTCTTGAAATCAGAGAAAGAATATGATACTCATGTTCAAGAAGTGTTGAGTTGCTTGAGACAGTATTAACTCTATATAAACACTGAAAAATGCTCATTCTACATGCAGGAGATTGATTTCTTAGGTTATATTATTAAGATGAACAGTATTTCAATGAACAGGAGCTGAGTCTTCATCATTGAGAACTGGCCAGCACTGCAGATATATCACAAGATATAGATATTTCTAGAATTTGTAAATTTCTACAGACAATTCATCTATGCATATTCACAGATTACTGTCTCTCTTACAGATCTGTTAAAGAGAAGTGTGAAAGACAGAAAAATGAGATTATTTATTCTCACTCAAGACACTGTGCAGATGTTTATGAAATTGAAATGAGCTTTTACAGATGTCACAATGCTGAATCACTTTAATCTCAACTTACTTAGTCAGTGTGAGACTGATGCATCTGAGAATAGAATCTGTGAAATCTTTTCACAGTTGATATCAGAGATCTTTCAACATTGAAAGAATCAGAGAATAATCACTTCTGAAGATACAGACAATGAATTGTCTGTGAGAGAAGGCTTTTTCACAGAACTTATAAGACACTGTAAATGAAGATCAGTGATCTTCTTCTTCAAGAAGTTATCACTCACACAGAGAAGGTATGATACTCATGATTAGAAGATGTTAGTAATTGTCAAATTCTTTAAGATCTGGCAACATTATCTTCAGAGTAGTAAGTACTCAGTGTAAGTTCTCACTGATCATGCAAATCTGTGTTATTTCTTAATAATAAAGAGCTTGACAGAATATCAAGCCTGGTGAGCAGAGCTACTTTCAGAGTATGATTTCTATATCTGATATCATTCAGGTCAGCTTAACCTCACTGACACACTGTCTAGACAGCTCAATTATAATATCATTGATACAGAGAAGAATTCTACAAAAGAATCTCTGTCATCACTGCAGAAGAAGCTGACTGCAGGGAATTAAGATTCTCTGAAGCTCAGAAACAGCGCTGATAAGGCAGCTGTATGACTCAGTATAGAAGATGAAAGAAAACTCAAGTCTCTGCAGAGAACTGACACTGAAGATCATGAGCTTCTTATATTATATCTTACAATTATTGAATTGACAAAGAATAAAACAGTCTACAATCTTTCAATTCAACTACTTTTGAAATTCATTAATAAGTTACAGAAGAGGAATACCTCTACTGCAGCTCAAATTCAGAAGTTGAAGAAGAAAGAATTCAGTTTGAACTTGAAAGAGACAGGCTCTGAGCAGAGTGATACTGCTAAGAAATCAAGTCACTGATAACTAGAAGAATGTGAACTTCTACTGCTGAATGATTCAGTCTTTATCTCTCATAGCAGAGCAATGTGTCAGAAGTTATTAAGAATTCATCATAATAATCTTCATACAGAGCACTTCAGGTTAGAGAAGACTGAGAAGCTTCTAAAACATAAATATATTTAAGACAAACTCTGAGCAGATATTAAAGAGTATGTTGAGACTTATAATATCTGTCAAAGAATAAAGATTCTGTGATATAAGTAATACAGTGAGTTAATATCACTGTCTGTTTCAAAGAGCTTATAACAGAATCTATCAATGAATTTCATAGTTGACCTGTCAAAGTCAATAAGAGTCAAAGAATATAACTCAATTTTGATCATTATTGATCATTTTACAAAGATGATTAAATATATCTCTATTCATAAAAAGATTAAAGCCTCTGAATTGACTGACCTGTTTTTAGATACTATTATTCATGATCACAGTGCTTCAAAATCATTAATAACAGATTAAGAATTCCTCTTCATTAGCAAATACTGATCAGCTTTTTACTATCATCTTATAATAAGATATCTTCTCAGTACTGCATTTCATCTGCAGACAGATGATCAGACTGAATATTAGAATCAGACACTAGAACAGTATCTTTAAGCATTCAGTTTATATTATCAGAATAATTGACTCAAATATCTTTTAATCATCAAATTTGTATATAATAATGTAAAGAATGTAATCTTAAAGATATCTTCTTTCTATACTTATTATAGATATAATTTTTTATTACTCAGTGACATTACAGATAACATTTCAAAGAGAAGAATAGATAGTCAGAATATTGAACAAGTACAGAGAACAGAGTATCTCTCAGTATCAGAAGTAAAAGCAAGATTAGAACTTTTGAATAAAATCTATGAGAAGACAGTGAAAAGCATTCATCACACTCAGAAGTAGCAGATGAAATACTATAATTAAAAACATCTTTTAATGAAGTTCTTAATAGAAGATCAAGTACTACTTTTAGCAAAGAATATCAAGATAATGAGACTGTGTAAGAAGCTCAGTGAGTAGTGACTAGAACCTTTCTCAGTAACAAGAGTGATGAGTAAGCAGATATATGAGTTGAAATTACTCTCAGAATTGAAATCAATTCATTCTATTTTTCATATTTTCTATTTAAAGCTCTATAAGCAATGTCTCAGAGTGAAGCTATCTCAGCTGAATAATATCAAGATTGAGAGTAATACTGAATATCTTATAAAGAAAATATTGAATAAGTAAACATATTACAGTAAGCTTCAATATCTCATTAAATGAAAAGATTATTCATTATCAGAGAATTCATGAGAACTGCTTGAGCATTTGAAAAATACTGAGAAAGAGATTACAAGCTATGAGACAGCTAGTAGAGATCACTCTGTTACACATCAGAGATATTGAATAAGAAATGCTGCTTAAGACTTCTTATTTTTCTTAAAGAGTTTTTTAGAGATAATCTTGCAGTGATGAGTCAGTGTCTTATTAACTTTATAGCACTCTTCTTCTATTTTCTCTCAAAGAATTTTTAGAAGTTTAATGAGACTATACAAGTGTAAAATTTCTGAAGCAGTTAATAAGAAAAGAAAGAGATATTTGAAATCAACAAAGATTAATATTATTAACTCACAGACTGCTGCTATTCTAATAGAGCTGCAGTCTGCTGAAAAAGTAAAAAGAAGAGATCAGAGTCTACTCATCAACAATCACATCTTCATCAAACTCATTCTTCACTGTTGAAGTCTTCAGCATCAGCATCTTTGCCTGCTGAGAAGTTAGTACTGCAGCATCACAGAGAAGCATGCTGCAGAAGAGTATAAGAGATACTGAAAGTATTAACTTATCAACTTATAAAGCATCTCAGTTATCTGTTTCAACTGAAGTGAGATTCTCTTTAATCAGCAATTGATCTTTATAGTGCTTTTAATAGCAGTGCTGACTAATCTCTTCTTAAGATCAGTCATTCTGAGGTATTTTTTTATCTTGAAGATTCACACTTTCATCTTCTTTTACAGATAAGCAAGAGAGACCTTCTCAGTCTTGATAGAATTTATCAATACTTAAAGCTCTGAGACTCTTACTCTGTACTGCTTGAGTATCTGAGCTTCTTATCAGAGCTGACATAATATCTTTCTATGAGATAATACTTACAGAGAGACAGAAGTCATTGTTACAGATACAATGAAAATAACAGAAGTGAGAGAAGAGACAGATGTATAAAATCTCTCTCTTCTTCAGCTGTTTAGTGCAGTGCAGATAAGTGATAGTATCAGTCAGAGACTGCACTGAAGCCTTCTCACAGAGAGAAGACAAAGAAATCACAGAACTCTGCAGACTCAACTCAGCAGTATTCTGAGCAGGGCTCAGGCATGTCACAGGAGAAGAACTATGAATTGAGCTTCTCAGAGTCACTGTTTCCAGAATCAAGCTCTCTCTGAGATCCTCTTTAAATGATCACACAGGGTCATATACTACTGTGTTGACTGAGGGGGGGGCAGCGTCACAACAGTGATGGAAGAGGCAGAGAAAGAACTGGACACAGATGAACCAACTGGCAGAAGGGATGACACCTCACTGCAAGGCACAGGAACTACCACCACAGCTGCAAGAGAAGCAGGAGAAGATGTGGCAATGAGAGCAGTGCTTCTGCAGCTCATTGATGCTGTCATCTCCATCTTCAACCTGGCTTTCTTAGCAGTCACGGAGGCCGCAGCTGCATCACAAAGACATTTACTCACTAGAAAACATCAGAATAAGCCTCTTATTGTCTCTCAAGAATAATGCTCCCATGCACTTACTATTACAGATGAGAGAGAGAGAAGAAAAATGTGTTACAGAGAGAGAGAATCTTTTCAAAAAATCCTGTCACTACTGTTAACTTTGTCTCTAAAACACATCACTTTTGCAGGAAATTTCATATATAGAATGAAATATAATAAGAGATCTGTAAGTCACTTATTAACTACATTTTTCACATTTTAAATCAATATATAAGAAACTCACTTATCATATGTTTGATTTGAATGAAGATGAGAAAAGAAAGATTTATACAGTTAGCAGAAAAACTCATCTATTTCTTTATATCATACACAGTATATGTGCTGTTAAATCAGTTGATAATCATTGTTATACAATAAAGATAATTTCTAATTCAGTAATCTTAAGAGCATCAGAACTATGCTCTTAAAGAGAAGAGTATTATCACACTCTCAGCTGTGTCAAGATCTCACTGCAGTTTCACACAGCTTATCACTTTCATGCAGATGATTTCATCTTATCTGAACCAGTTTTCAATTACTCTATAACATCATTCAGATATATTATAGAAAGATTCAATTAATGAATATAAGAATCTCACTTCTATATAAGATCAGCAGATTACTCTTTCTTAACAGTAAGATATCACTGAGATATTACTTCAGCTATTCTCACTTATAAAATAAAAGAAGAGTATTCACTCATTATCTATATAGAATAGCTAGATGCTGACTTCTCATTAAAGAAGTCAGTGATTTATTTTTCTTCTACTGAAATATATATAAGAGTTACTGCATGTCTTATACAATCTTCTTAGTATACTAAGTATTATATCTGTGATATTCTCACAATAACTCTGTAGTCTATGAGCTCACTATTCAAGCAAGATAGTCAAGCTCACTTATATAGCTTCTTAAACAACTACTTCTACATAACACCGCTGACTAGTCACTGCTTCGGTTCTGTCATGTTACAACACTGTATAAGGTCTGACTTGAAGCTCTACTCTCTGCATACAGCATTCACTGATGAGGTTGCAAAGCATTCTTGAAGATAGTTCTCAAGCTCATTAATAAGATAACTTCTCATTTTAAAGAGTTGATTTTTGTGAAATATGATGATTTTATCAATTATAGATTGATGAACCTCTTCAACAGATATTTATACATATTAAAAGACATCATCTTTCAGAAGAACTTTCATCTTGTTAATTCATTGATACTGATAACAAACAACCTGAAGGTTCTACTTAATACAGTCTGTAAAGTAGCTGCAGTGATTTCTTCATTGATATCAGACTCACTCACTGCAGTCTGACAAGAGACTGCAGTGATTTCTGATTCATCAATTAATAATCTGTTCATTGATAAGGAAATTCAACCTGAGTGTTCATTATTTCTCATACTCACTAATAATTGATGAATTGACTATGATATCTCCATGAGAATATCTATCTTTTTAGTACAGAATACACTGAATTTCCTGAAACTCACAGTTGAATCTGATGATTCTTTGACATCTATAAGAGATATCACTATAGTGAGAGAATCTACAGTGAGAGAATCTTCAGTGAGAGACAGTCTTGAAGACCTATTCACTGATTCTGAGATTGCTGCACTTTCAATCCTGAAAAACCTCACATGTGTCAAAGCTTTCATGGAATGAAAGTATTATTACAAGGCCTGTGTTAAAGAGATTAACTGTTTGAAACAGATAGAGATCTGATAACTGATTGAGAGAATATTATAAATGAGTGTTCTTCACAGCCAATGAGTATTTAATAAAAAGTTTAATAATATAAGTGAGATTATCTGCTATAAGACTCACTGAGTTATCTGCAGAAATCTTCAATAGAAGAGAGTCAATTACTCAAGAATCTTTGCACTCATTGTCTCTGCATTCATCTCACAAGCTCTCATGATAATCTCAGCATTCTGAGAATAGTATGTTCTGCAGATTGATATGATGACTGCTTTTTTGAATATTCAACTGTCTGCTGATGAATAAATATATATGAATCAACTCACAGAATTCTGTGAAGACTGTGATAATCTTATATGTGAGTTGATGTAGAGACTCTACAGTCTTAAGCAAGCAGCACTCTTATGATATGAGAAGCTGTGAAAGATGCTATTACACTCAGACTTCTAAGTCAGTCTCTATGATATCAGACTATTTATTCATGATGAAAGATAAGTCTATATAACTATCTATGTGAATAATGTCTGTCTCTATAGTCTGAAGATTGATGATCTGAACTGGGTCAAAGCTGAAATCACTGCTAATTATAAGATCAAGAATGTAGAGAATTCTAACTGCTATCTAGAAATAAAGATTGATAGAGATTCAACTTCATTAACATTGTCTCAATCTCTCTTTATAAGGAATTTTCTGAAGAAGTTCTCAATGAATAACTATCATTCTACATTCACTTCTATGAAGAAGAATGTCAATTTTATGAATAATAATGAGAAACTGATTATATACACAGTAGAATTTACTCTATAATTCTATTAATCTGATATCAGATCTCTGTAATATCTGGCAATTAATACATATTCTGATATGAGCTTCATCACAGAATTTCTTGAACAATTCAGCTCTCAGTCTACATCAAAGAACTGAGCTGTATATAAGTGTACACTCTGATATCTACAGAGTTCAATCAATGAGAGTATAACCTATCACAGAGGTGCTGAAATTGAACCTGTAGCATATACAGATGTCAATTGAGCTGGTAGAGATTCAGAATCTCATTCAATCACTGATTATATCATCTACATGACAGGTGACCCTGTTGCATGACAGAGCTGCTGATAAACAGAGGTCTTCAAATCATCAACAGAGGTCAAATATATTGCATTCTTTAAGACTGTATATGAGCTTGTCTGTCTCTGAGAGCTTCTAGAAGACACTGAATTCATCTCATCTCATCTCAACAATCTGAATGCTGATGATCACCTCATTCTCATCACAGTCAATGATCTGACTTATACAATTTATGCTGATAATAAGTTCACTATAGAGCTATTCTCTTCTGAAGCAATTTCCCACTGCTTGAAGTATATAGAGATCTGTTTTCACATTCTTCAGAATCTTGTCTGTAAGAATGAAATATCTATCTAATATATTTCATCTGCTGAGAACATGATGAATGAGCTTACTAAATCACTTGAAATGTTGAAATATACATGTTGAAAAGAGAATATAAAGAAGATAGAGAAATAGAGGGATAAAAAATGATGTATCTCATAACTGATTTTTCATTACTACACATTTTCCAGTCATTTTTGTATCTGTACTTGATTTGAAGGTGAATTTTGTATATAGCATGATGTATAGTTACTCTGATGAGTGAGGATGTCAGGTCACATGATCTGGCTTACTAATCCTTCCACTATATAACTTTTCACAAGCTAGCAACCTTTCAATCACACAAGCTTTACACCTTTCACAAGAACTACACGAAATATCTGAGGTCTAGAGGGGGGAAGAAGAGAAATAAGAGAAACTCGAGAATAAGTGTGAATAGTTAGATGAAAATTGTTGTTTGTTGTAAATTACAATGAATTTCTTATAAAATCAAATCATCACATACTTAAAACTATGGCACCTGCTTGACTAGAAATCATGGCTTCTCTTAAGAACTAAAAGGCCAGCAGTTAGACTTTCCCTGAGGCAGCATGCTTCTCATGGATTAGTTTCTGATTTTAGAAAAACCACATCTGCAGAGTTCGTCAGGGAATTAAAGTTCCTAGAGAAAGAGAACTGATTTCAATAAAAGGCCAGCAGTTACACTGTTTCCTGAGATAGTAGCTGCTACTCTCTTTCTAATAATAAGACTATTATGTGAGGAGTGAAAGTGTAAGTAAATTTGTTCTAAAACTAGGTATATGGGCATATATCATAAAGCTAAGAATGGGCATCATTTCTTTCAGGACTGTGAAAAAAAACCTGACGGCTGTCAAGCTGTTGTCGATAACTAACAGGCGTCTCATAAATCGGGAGGGGGTAGTGATACGCCTGCTGTAGGTCAGTAAAAGCACTTAAACTAGATTCAAGAGTCGTACAGTTTGCTCCACTGATGGTGGCGGATTTCCGTTTGTGTACAGGGTGAGGTATCGATTGTTCACGTAGATGATGACATAGACATCAGCTCTGCATTTATCACTGTACTCCACACTCTTTCTGAAGAGAGTCTCTCTCTGTCCGCGCCTCTTTTTAGATGGTGCTTGATAATCTTTATATGTCTTGCGAACTGTATGAGGATAGTGCTTCTCCTGCTCATTGTCAGTTGTGAATGGAGCTTCCAGACTAAAATTGGAGCTCATACAATCTGTTCTTCTGAAGGTGGCCATGTACCGAAATCATGGGACAAGCATCGGACTGGCCTGCCCTAAGTCTCGATATGGAGTTGTACAGCCATAGTTTAACATGAATGAGGCTCAAATTCTCTATGTTATATGATCCATCCACCATCTCTAGGTAACTTTTGCTGAGGCTACAAAGCTCGCTGGACTTGGTTGGCTGCCATCCTCATCTAAAAATGACAGGGACTGTGAAACATCAAAACGTACTTCACAAGGGATCTCATCAATGACAGACCGGATCCTTTTTAGATGGTCTGGCATCCATATATCGTAAACATCACAAGACCCTAGAACCGCATTCATCTCATACGCCAGAGCATACGCTAGAGCTTTCCTTAACACTTCAAATAATGTGCCAGAAATCACAGACGAAAGGACCACCTTCTTCTAAAAGTTCCTGGAAACATTCATTCTCATCAATTTGATCAAGAACAGAAACAACATAATGTGTTGTGAAATTCCTCATGCCATCGATCTTACTGCTTTGATTTGGTGGTGTGTTCAAGTAGACAAATCGAACAAATTCAACAATGCCACTCACTCCAGTGTCATACAGGTTGAAGGTTCTCAGTGTTTGATGCAATTTGGAAAGGATCAGCTGGCACAACAAGTCTATGCCATATTTGTCGGCCAGCACGTACAGTCGGGCCTGTT